GATCGCATAGGGGGCAGGAATGTGCATTAATTGGTCTCCAAGTCATTCCATTCAGATTGTGAAGATGAGCTCAAACCAACACCATTAAGGAAATATTAAGTTAACTAAAAACATAAAATTTTTAATTTCTTTCATTAACGAAACTTTTAGCGTATTGAAAATAATATTTACTAGAATACCGCATTTGTGGCCATATTACAAATAAATATTAGATATTAAGACCAAGGTAGTGCCGCCTTTGATTTTGTCAAAGTCGCCGTTATTTATAGCCTGACCTCGCCTTCGAAACTTAGTCGTCACTTTGAAGAATTATAACTCTTTCTGAGTATGGCACTTCTTAAGGGCAATGCCGATTAAGTAGCCAGCATTATGTGTATAAATAAACTAAGTCAACCGCCAAATGCATGAAATTGTATTGACTTCTATGTCAGGGAACACTCAATTAGGTACATTATGCACCATTTATCTCATCTCAAGTCCTAAATGACTAAATCGCTAAGGTATGTATATAGAGACACAATATGCACACAAATAAAGTTGTTCGACAAATAACTAAACATATATGACTATACATTAAAGGTAATATGAAATCTTTCTGAGGTGTATTTACATTACTGTATTAAGGTAATTAAATACTAATAGTTGAATTTTCCCAAAAGAATATGAATAGATATTACGTTTTCTTTTAATTTCGTCAAGCCTTTCCTTAAACGGCATTCTCATCCATGGTGGATTGCATTTTCGATTTCATTTAAGTCTAATCAACTCTCCTTGCGGGACTCGAATGGTGATATGGCAGCGTATTATCTTAACACATTAACCAAACGCTACATTGTAACAAGTGTCCTTGGGTCACAATGGAGGTGTGAAGTTCAAGGTATGACAGGTATTTTCATATATATTTAAATTAATTTTATTAACTATGTAAAATCCCTTAATCTCGACTATCATATTCATTATACAAAATATTAGGACTCGATTTAGGAGGAATTCGGAGGCATTATGCCTACTCAGAAGTTAAGAATGTATGGGTAAGATGCACAAAAAATGCAAATTAAATATAAGAATAAGGGGCAGCAAAAAAATATTGGCATTTCACACTAAAGTTGTTTGACCTTGTTTCGCAAAATGATCATATTGCCTGAATAAACTCGGAGAAGACCAGGCAATAATAAGATCAGCAAAAAGAAGACGACTGGATCGAGGTAATATCTTTAATTTTAGGAAACGAAATCGCAAAGGGACCAGAAAGGAATAATCAGAAGCCAATAGGAGACGCTTTCAGTGAGCCTGATCAAAATAAATAGAACCAAAACATTTGTAGTTTGGCCCAAAATAGACTAGTGCATAGAAAGTCATACACATAGTATTTTTGGTAGAAGCAGGACAGACGCAGTATAGGCTAGAGCTAGTATGCTAATAATAGACGTGCTTTATTGACCACGTCTATTATTAAGCACGTCGATTATTAGCCAAATAGCTCTAGTCTTCACTGCGTCAATCCTGTTTCTATCCATAATACCAAGTCTATGACTTGCTATGCCCTACTCTCTTTTGTGCCAACCTACAAATGTTGTGATTCTACTTGTTTTGATTAGGCTTATTGAAGATGTGTTAAACTTACTTTCATTTCGGGTAAAAGTGTTAGGTTAAGAGATTCGAAGGTCGGTTCCACCAGAAGACGATGGCGGATTCCTCTTGACCAGCTGTCGATTGGATTTACTGGAAGATTAATGCTTTCACTGTATCCGAGGTAATCTCCTTTGATTCCGGTGAATAGATGCTAAATTCCGTCCGTCATATGACGGACATCATCAAAACGAGGTAACATCGTTACAACAAAATCCAAGCTAACAAGTCAAGAAAACTCACCAGCAAATCCCTAAAAAGTGGTATATATACTCTACATCTGGCCTCTTTGACCAAGTATAAAATGATTTGGTTAGTTAAGGTCATATGTCAACTTTGATGCATGTGACTGTGTCTGTCTCTGTATTGGTATGTGCCTGTTTGTATTCGCTTATGCATGAAACCCGCAGTGATGGCTCAGAGTAATTAGGACAGCAAATAAGAAAGTCTGTTTTTGGCCATCAAGGTATGATGACCCCTATCTCTTCCTTTCTAGATTTAAGTTATAACCATCACTCCAATTGCGCAAGGTCGGACACGTCTGGTTTTGTTGATGAGCCTATTTTTGGTTTATGGTCTCAATGCGAGAGAGAAACAGTGAACTAAAAAGACAGAGAAATGACTATCATTAGAACCAACATAAGAAAAGACTAGTTGCGTCGCCTCCTTTTTGCAGGCGGCTCAACTTCCTCTCTATCCTTCAATATATCAATTAAGCACAAATAGTTTTTACTTATCTTTTTGCCGGTATTCCTTACAATCAACGTATTTCCTATTCGGTTTATTTATATGGCTTCGCTAATTTTACGTTTAGCCGCAACCATACTATAATCAGCAAAACGACAAGTTTGAGATAATTTAATCCCGTGTCCCGTTTCTAGCCTGTGCTTAGCAAGCTACGATTTTTGAACCCAACAGACTTTGCAGGCACTTTTGCGCTCAGCCACACCTTGA